AAAATATTGACAGGAAGTGTATAAAAAGTTGAATAATTGCTTTGACATCTGATTATAAGAAAAATGTAATCTTGCCTGAACACTTCAATTTTTCTCTTGTTCTAGCATTCCGAACTCTCTTCAGTTTGGTTCTCTTGTCTCTGTTGATAAAGTTCCCAATTTATCAGTGAAAAATGAACCTATTCTTGGTGAGTTTATCATGCCATGCTTTTTATCTTAAATTCATTTGATGCTATATACTGAATTATACTTTTTACTGTCCACAAGGAAGAAACATTTTCTCTTGATGTGAAGTGATACAACTTGCAATATCTGGTCTTATTTGCAGGTTATCTGCCAGGGAGTAAAGAGCTCAAGGAATTGGAAAGTGCCTTGAAAGAGACAGCCTCTAATGTGGAGGACGTGCCAATCGTCATTGGGGATGAAGAAATTAGAACTAAGAATGTTAAATACCAAGTGATGGTGAGTCTACTTTTGTCGCATTAGATTTGGTGTTGTGTGTCTAAATTTTAAAAAGTAATTCTAATCCTGTTTTACTTTTGTCTAATTTCAGCCCCATAACCACTCTAAGAAAATAGCTCAGTACTATTATGCTACACCAGTAAGTTCAGTTTATATTCAACCCATTACAGTCCTATATTCAGTTAATAGTTCTGCATTTTGAAATTTATTTTTTCTAACTAGGATCTGGTGAAGAAAGCTATCAGCACTGCCACTGAGGCACAGAAAAAGTGGGACCGTGTACCAATGTCTGAGCGTATAAATATGTGGATGAAGGCAGCTGACCTGATGGCCACCAAGTATCGGGCTCAACTCAACGCGACTACCATGTTAGGACAAGCTAAAGTAGTCATTCAGGCTGAAATTGATTCAGCCTGTGAACTTATTGACTTTGTAAGGTAGGTTAATATGGCGCATTCCCCACTTTGAACATTGTAATTAAAAGTTACTGTTTCTTTATTTTCTCTTTTTACACCCAGGTTCAATGCTCATTTTGCTAACGAATTAGCAGACTATTCTCCCATTAGTCCCAACCCAAAGGAAGGGAAAAATTCACTGAGGTACCGTGGTATTGATGGGTTCATTGCTGCAGTTTCACCTTTCAACTTCACTGCCATTGGTGGAAATTTGGCTTACACTCCTGCTCTCATGGTATTTTTTAATTTATAATTTTTTGTAAACCTACTGTAGTTCTTTTTTTTTTTACTGTATTTTAGTTATATGCTAAAACTAGTATTTTAAAATGTTTTTCTTTATTAAAGGGTAACGGAGTATTGTGGAAGCCATCAGACACAGCTCTCCTATCCAATTACACAATTTTTAAAATTATGCGAGAGGTTGGTGTTCCTGCTGGCGTTGTCAACTTTGTACCAGCTCTTGGACCAGATTTTGGAGATACTATCACAAACTCTAAGCACTTAGCTGGCATTAATTTTACAGGTTCAGTTCCGTAAGTATTAGGCTATCTTATCCCCTTTTAATTTTGTTTTCTGCACTCACATTAACAATAACCTATCTTGGTCAATAAACCAGAATTTAGGAAGAAAAAACATTCCAATCATATCTAAAAAGTGAGGTTGTCTGTGACCATTCTTTTTGGTGCCGTACTGTGTGGAAAGAGTTTGCTCTTTTTTAGTAAATGAGTGCAAGATTTAATAACCTTTTCTCTAAATATTAGGCAGAGTCAGTTTCAGACCGTCTAAAATCAATCTAGATACGTAATACAATGGTTGCTTATCATGTCCTTTAAATTTTCAGTACTTTTAATCGTCTTTGGAGACAAGTTGGAGAAAGGTTGAACAGTTACCGGAATTTCCCCCGGCTTATTGGAGAGTGTGGTGGAAAAAATTACCATTTCGTTCACTCCAGTGCTGATGTCACATCTGTTGTGAATGGTACAATCCGATCAGCCTTTGAATATTCTGGTCAAAAGTGCTCTGCATGCTCCAGGGCATATGTGCCAAAGTCTCTCTGGCCCAAGGTATGATAGCTCGCTTCACTCTCTGTGTACTGGTTTATTTATATTCTGTTTTTAAACTTGGTAAACAACAATGGCGTCTGAAGTTTAAAATTTGAATTTCTCTGATTCAGATTAAAGAGGGACTTATTTCAGTAAGAGATCAACTTGTTATTGGTGATGTAACTGATGTCAAGTCTTTTACCTCTGCTGTGATTGACAAGGCTGCCTTTGATCGTATCAAGAGTTACATTGATTATGCACGCAGCAGCAATAAACATGAAATTATTGGTGGAGGTCAATATGACGATAGGTGTGTTTCCTCTAATTTTGTGATTTTTAAAATGTGCATTAATTTGAAATGTAGAAAGCGTGTCAGATTAATCACTATTAGCTCATCCCACCATGCACTTTTTCATTGCAGTCAAGGATACTTTGTGCAGCCTACTATCATTGTGTGCAGTGACCCAACAGACAAAATTATGAAAGAGGAGATTTTTGGACCAGTTTTGTCTATTTATGTTTATGAAGACAAGGATGCAGAGTCAGTCATGGAAACTTTGAGCACTGTCAGTCCATATGCTCTTACTGGAGCAGTTTTTGCTCAGGATGAGTAAGTATCATTTATCTATCTATGCGTCTCTCTCTTACAGACTTAGTTTTTAATTTATGTTTTCCTTGATATTTTCCAGAAAGTTTGCAAGAAGTGCCATTGAGAAGTTGAAAATGACTGCAGGAAACTTTTATGTCAACGATAAGTCAACTGGTTCTGTCGTCGGCCAGCAGCCTTTTGGAGGTGCCAGAATGTCAGGTAAAGAACATTCACTTATCTTGTCCATTATTTGTGCCCTCATTTGCCAAATCTCTCACAAAATTATTTTTAATCTAGGTACCAATGACAAAGCTGGTGGGCCCCATTATGTCCTTCGCTGGGCCAATCCTCAGTCAGTCAAGGAAACTTTTGTACCTCTAACTGATGTGACCTACCCATACATGCAAGGGTAAAGAGAAATGTTTCAGTGTTATTAATCTGTGATAGGAGGAAGAAAAACATGTTTTAGAGGGCAATGTTAACATTCTTATTTTCTTTTTTTGCAATGTAGACTTTCCACCCTATTGGTATGTGTGTCTTGTGGTCTTTATTGTTTTGTACTTGTGTTTCCTTGTTTCATATCACCCATTGAACAGCAATGTCTTTTAAAGTGATCACTATCTCTGTGAATTTTACTTTTAGTGGATTGAAAGTTCAGCAGCAGAAAGGTTTATTTTATCTGAACACTACTGGTCTCTCCAGATCCTAAGCTTTCTGAAAGACAAAGTTTTCTTATGCATTCTTGCATAAAGTATTAACCATAGTGTGGGAGGATTATCTTATTTTTGTAATTTGCCGCTTAATAAGGTATCTTTGGTTACATTGATTCCCCTTTAGGGTTGCATAAGCATAACTGACCTAGCATATGCATCAAAACTTGGCTAATTCAAAATCTGATTTACTAATTCATTACATAGTGTATTTAAAACAAATGCCCAGTTTAGGTGATTATATGTCTTCTTTGCCTTGACTTTGCGTACTGCTGTTTTGAACAACACTTAGTCACCCTAGTCAAACTAAGTTAATGAAATGGTTCTTCTGCAAGCAATATTTGCCAAAGATTTATTGTGCTGTCCCTTTTGTGTTTTATCCTTAAGTTTACTTTTCTTTTGGGCAAAGTCTTTTCTGAAATGATGGGTAGTTTGGTATTTCTGTATGTATTTGTTTTAACTGAAATCAAACCTATGCCTGATTATTATCTTCAAAAGATCAACTTATTTTTCCAGTTTTGAATACTGACACGTGTAATACTTCCTGTACAGTGGATGTTGTTCATTGGGCAAATGTTCGAGTTTGAACTTCATAAAACTGTAATTTTTGATAAAGTCCCATTTTAAGTGCTGTGCTATGGAAAGATTATCAAAATCAGTGTTTCTCTTTCTCTGTTTTTAATTTTCTATGATTTGGTAGAATGACCTACCCGCCTTTTTCATTTTAAGAATGCGAACAAGATAGAAATTGTGCTGTTACATTTTGTTGAATGTTGGGGATTGGATTAATTATGTTCGTTGTGATGTTACTGCCTCTGTCTTTTGCTCTCTTGATATGGCTTGTCTACTTTATATTTATGGAACAGGTTTGGAAGATTTTCTTATCATGAAAAGTTGAGTACTATTAAGTAAAGTAAATATTTAGCAAAAACTGAGAAAGACGTGCTGGGCAATGTTTGTATATGAGACCATCTTTGTACATTGTATGTACATAACTTTGTTCTATATGACCTTTGGAAAAGGCTTACTGAGACTGTTCACTAAAATACAAACTGGTATGTTTTGATTGTCCTCTTGGATCAATATTTTTTAATCAAGTTCAGTTTTTTGCAACTCTTGAACTCTGAACCCTTCAGCTCCTATTGTTTGTTCTTTTATTTTGAAAACTTTTGTTAACTTTATTTTTGTATTTGTGGTGCAGATCAACTTCATGGTTAGAGGTTTGCTAATCAATTCCAAACTTTTGTGATGTATAAAGTTCCATGTCTTAGATACATTTTACTTTTCAAGAAATATTAACTGTTCCCTGTGAATAACCGCTTATGTGACAGTATACAGAAGTACAAGGAATGTTTTTTTTCTTTTTCAAGACTATGTCAATATATAGCATCTATATATATATTGAGTGGTTGTATAATGAGTTTGTGTTAAAGAGCTAAAGCGAGTAAGGTAGGCAGCTTTATATTTGGTAAGTAGGCACTTGTTTTGAGGCGCTTTATTGGCAACAGTTTATTTTAACCATTAAATAAGTAGGGTTTGTTTTTAATTTTTTTGTTTAAAAATTAAACTACAAAGATTTACTTTCTTATATTGCATCCATCGGCATTCGCAAGACAATAAAGCTGTTACAAGATTTTTAAAGTAGACAACAGTGTTTCTATTATCTATTTCTGCCTTGTTCCTCTATATTTCGCTGAAAGGAATTTTTAAGTCCTGTTCCCCTGCAAAACCTAATGTGGGCCAGTTGGATTTGCCCTTGATCCTGATCCAGGGAGGAATTGGAGATTATAGGGCCGGGAAAGCCCTGATCATCTTGATACTCGGATCTGGAGCTCAAATTAACGACGCTAATGTCCTTAGGAGCTACAACAGGTAATATTACAGGGTTCTGCAAAATTGCTTCCTTTGACTGCACTTGATGGGAACTGACCCCAAGCTTTGCTAGTCTGAAGTAGGACGAAAAATTTGGTTTATAGCAGAGCTCTGACACCGTGTCTGATAAAAGATGACACGCTGTAAAGTTATTACAATTTTTTTAAAATTTAAAACTTACATGATTAAGTAATAAAAATGGACAGTAAATGCATGGCATGAAGACATACTAGTAGAATGCATGTATTTCTGCCTGAGTTCCTTAACAAATTTCACCGTTGCTCATTTTATTAATTAATAATAATTTTAGGTTACTATTTTCAATTGAATTTGTTACTTCTCTGAGCCTCGCTTGAAGCTAAGATAGTTGTGTCTGTTGGCAGCAACCTGTTTCACAAACTATTTGGACCTGAAGCTTGGCTTTGTCTTATAGTATAGCATAGCACAGAACTGTATTTTTTAATTAAGTAAAGTATGACAGCCAAAAATGCACATATCCTTCATGGGGAATATTTTCCCCTAAACTTGAAATGGAGGACTGCTGAGTACTGCTAGAGAACTTCAGAGAGGTGTTGTTGGATATCAAATGCAGTTTCCCAAACATTAACAACAGCTTTGACCTCATTTGTGAAATTTGGCTTTGCAATTGAATTATCTAAAACTTTTGCAAGGTAATACCCCTTTCTTGGAAATATGTAGTCTTTTACCTGAAGTTTAGTACAAGGACAGAAATCATTTCTTCCATCGCCAACATAGGCCACATTGTTAAATTCTATTCCCTCATCTAATCTTTGTTTCAAATGTTTAGCTAGAACAAAACCTTTGCATAAATTTTTGGGGCACATTTCACACCAGTCTTGAGGAGGATCATGGTGCATAGCTATATTTAACATATCAGAGGAGTCAAAATAAGCTTCATTTGTATACACATGTGAAACTATGCTTTCCTCCTCAAATGTAGCTTCAAGCCACATTTTAATAAATATTGAATTTGAATCAGATATTATGATGACCTCAATTTCAGGTTGGTTTAGAAAAGACAGAAAGTCTATCATACCGGAAGTGGCTGGGATTTTCTGGAAAAATCCAAAGAAATATTATTTT